GTGTTTGCTCATGTATTAATCATAAATGACCCTCTGTGGTCAAGTGAGACACCTTAGCGATCACTCATGTGTGATGGCAACAAAGAAGAAGGTCAGATTATATTTTAGAGCCACAAAATCCACACCGGGAGGAGGCTGGGGTGGATGGAAGGGTTTAAAAAGCATAGGACTCTAACAGGAGAAACCATTTTTGTTGTTTTTCCTGCTTTTTTTCTTTTAAGGTGTGGAAAAAGGTGGAGGTGAAAGGGTTGCTGTTTTTTTTTTAAACCCCGAGATACTGAAACCAGTTTCACATGACTGAGGTTTCCCAGAATTGGAAGGTCTCTGGTCTCACAGTTCCTCTTCAGTTAATTATTCACCTACAGTATGTGGTCAGGCCCACATGTGTTTGACCCTATTTTTGCATATTGTCCTCTGTGCAGCACCACAGTGGGTTTTAAGTGGGTTCAGACTTTCAGATAGTGCAGACTTCCAGCTTTAATTCAAGGGATTTAACTAAAGTACTGCAATCGCTGTTTAGGAGTTACTGCGAAATAACATAATGTATTAAATAATACATTATGTTTACAGAGTCTCAATTAAGGAAATAGCACTAATATATACAAATGGCTCAATTATAAAAATCAATAATACTACGGAGGTGAGAATACCATGATTAACTGACAAGCAGTTTCAGGGCCAGGTGATGCCTGTTTCCTTGTTATTCCATTACAAATGATGATAAAACTCACTAGTGTTATTGACGGTGTGACTGTAGCAGTGTAGCAGGATTAATTGTGTCGTGTACTGGGCTATGCTCTCTGCTCAGATTCAGCCAAACTCTGCAGAAGTGATCAGAAAGAGTTTCAAAATGCAAACATATGATGACCCAAAGCACACTGCAAAAACAACAACTCAAGACTTTCTCCAGGCAGAGAAAAGAGATGGTCTTCAACGGCCAAGTTAGTCAACTGTTAGTGAACTCTCAACCCATCAGGTACTGAAGACAAAACTGAAGACAAAGCGACCCACAAAAAAGGGTGGAACAGCTAAAGGTGAGAAACGCCCAGAAAGTTGAAACTCACCAAGTGATGTCTTCAGTCTCAGCTGACTGCAGGTTTCCCCAAAATAACCTAGCTACAGCTACTCCCTATTTATAAAAACACTTTTTTTATGTTTAATATTTCATTGTTACACATGACTTAAGAACCTGCATTTAAATAGCAGCTATGTATCGATATACAGAACAGTTATATATAACCAGCAGGAGTGCAACCTGCAGACCTGAAGGAAACCTGAAGATTTGAAATTAGGAACAAACTTAATTCATTCTGCTGAGCACACATGCATCTGTCTCAAACAATACACGATGTGCTGGGAGCATTTTTCTGTGCTATCGTGGTTTCCTCTGTGCTGCCAGCAGTGAATATTACATCACTACTGTGCCCATAATCACTGTGAGGAATCTCTGCTTGGGATATGAAGCTGAATTTTAACTGAAACAAACAAACAGTCCAAGATAATAAGCATGGATGGCATGCGGTCCAGTTTTGGCTGCAGGCTGAAATAACAACGAGACTAAAAGTAAAGCTGTTCGCTGATCTCGCTGTTTCTGTTTAGAAACTCATGAGCTCGGACTTTCCCTTCCATTTTTTAACTCTGTGCTGTTTAAGTAACACGAAGCGTTTGATCCTGTCAATCTGCAGTGCTGCGACTCTGTCCATGGTGCTGACACTCCCTTTACTTAGCCTAAAGTCCGTTTCAAAGCAGCTCTGATTCAGCAGTTTGGCAATCGTATGCGGGTTAGGGTGTTCTAATCTAGAGTTCAGTCTGAGGTCAGGTTTCGGGTGTTTTGTTGTGAAATTGGCGTGACGGCAGGTGAAAAACAACTGCGAAATAAAAAACATCTACAAGTGAAAATAGGAAACACGTGTTAGAGTAACAGCACAACAGCTTCTTAAACCCTCTGAACTTTATATTCAAATACATAAACATGCATCATTTGTAACTCTGTGTGTGGATTAGACCTTCAGGCATGTTTGTTAGAGTTAGATACGCAGAGAGGCATGTTTATGTCACTGCGTACGTTCGTCCTCATGCTTTTATATTCATCTTTATTTCAGTATAAACTGGTTTCCTTTTTTTTAAATATTGTTTTTATCCCCTTTTCATTTTCTATTACAACTTTAACTGGCTTTGATTTTTTACTTATTGCTTCTATAGTATGTTTATTTATAAGGGTGTGTTTATTAAAATTGAAATCTTGCATAGTCGTGTCAGTTAAACTTGTTTTGCCTTAATGTTTGTCTTTCTAATCTAATTTGCCTTCTGAGAATCATGTTTTTTGCTCGTCTGCCAAAGGTGCTGTGAAAACTCATGAGTTACACGTCACCAGTACCAGGTTGGAGCTCCTTTTGCCTTCTGAACTGCTTTAATTCTTCGTGGCTAAGCTTCAACAAGTTGCTGAACACATCTGAGGCTGTGACTGTGGAGGCCCTTTGAGTACAAAAGGTTGTTAGAAATCTTCATCTGTTGAGCCAGTGTGAGTTGTAGCCTCAGTTTCCTATTTATAGGTGGCAGGAATGCATCCAGCGTGGTCTTCTGCTGCTGCAGCCCATCTGCTTCAAGGTTGGATGCTCTTCTCCTTACCTTAGTTGCAATAAGTGGTTATTTGTGTTGAGCTTGAAGCAGCCTGATTCTCATCTGAACCCTGTGATCAACAAAGCTGCTCACCAGATATTTTCTCTTTTTCAGCCCTTTCTCTTTAACCCCTATTGATGGTTGTGTGGGAATATCCCAGCACCAACAACCATGCCACATTCAAGGTCACTGAAATCACCTTTATTCTTAATGTTGATTCCAGGTTTGTGCCTAAGTGCTTTTCTGCCATGTGATTGGCTGATTGGGGAAACTTATTAAACTGCTCACAGAAACTGAAACTTTGAACAGCTGCAGTTACAGAAACAAACAAACTGGACAAACAGAGTCTTCTCAGGAATGTCATTCAATGTGATCAAGACATTTGAAATAACAAATCAGCAAACCTTCTGCTTGATTGATGGGTTTGCATTTAAACTCTCCAAACTGTACATTGACACCACAATAAAAGGAAGAAGCAAAGAACAGAATAAAATCCAAAAATCTGCTTTTATTTTTGTTTTTATTGTTGCCTTGCTGGAGTTTATTGGATCAGATCTCTGTGTGAAATGATTCAGCACTGTGGTGACTTTGGGTTTATGACATAAAGCTGCTGCTGCCCTACATATGAGTTCAAGCTAATACTGAGAGCCTGAATGTAAGCATTTTATTCGGATTTCAAGAAACGGTTGACTCATTTTGTCCTCTCACATATGTTTGAAGTTTCCTGTTATCAGCAGATGTTTTATGAGATATCAGTGCATGTCCGCGTGTGTGTGTGTGCTGAGCAGTGAGTTTCAAATGTGTAATGATGCAGGACTAAACTTTTGATGCTCTCACGATGAAAGGAAAAACTTGACACTGTTTTTTCTTATCTATCATTTGCTCTTCACCCTTTTCTCTTCACTCCTTTCCATGTCTGACTCGCGAGTCATGTGATTCTCCTCCGCTAGGCGGCAGCATTAAGCCGCTGTCTGAGAGCAAGAGGGGAAAGACCCGATGAAAGAAAGGAGAAATGAGAGTTTGGCTCTGTGAGTCTCGGTCTGGAGTGCAGGTTTCGGAGATGAAGAAAGGAGGGGAAAGGGTGAAGAGAAAAGAGGATTCGTGAAAAAAAGACACAAGTGTGGTTAAAGATGCAAAGACAGAAAACAGAGTTTAAATGTGGTTTGATAAATGACCTGAAACAATGAGACCGCAGAGCAAAACGCGCCCCCTCACTGTACGAATGACCTTTTGCATCCGTGCTGCGGGTCAGGGTCTCCACTCTGCCTCCGTGTTATGTAACAGGTAATGTCTGCGGACCTAATTGAAGCCAGTCATTTTCTTTGGAATGAAGCAGCTCCCGCAAACCCCCCCCCCCCAATCCTCGCGCTCCTGCGTGTCATTGATGAAACTGTATTCTGGGGGCTCAAGAAAGAGATAAACCACCCGGCGCTCAATTTTAAAAGGTCAGCTGAGTGAGCGGGATTAAATCATTGTTACGCGGGAGACATGAGACTAGATGAGGTGCGTGTTGGGAAGATGTGCAGCAACTTTAACTCTGAGATGAGGCAAGAAAAGGACACAACACGGAGAGAGACGCGAGGAGAATAAGGGTTTAGTTGGAGTGCGAACATTCCCAGTATTCCCAGTCCTAAACTTGAACTCATTTCTTTACAAACACTGAGAGAAATCAGAGAAAGTGAGGGAACGAGTTTAATAAAAAAAAATATCAGGGAAGAAACAGACAGAACCTAATCTGTCACTCTGATGAAGCGCGCGGGATGTGCGTAGAATATGGGATGGATAAAGGGATGTTCTGTAAATAAAGTCAGCATAAATCAGATCCACGCTGTTTACATCAGTTCTGTTTGACACTAAAACACCTGCGAGCTCAGTGATTCAAGTTTTGACATGCGCAACAGAAAGAAACAAGAAGCTCGCTCCAGACAGCCTGCGCGTAAAGACGCGTCTCAGAGTAAACACGCAGCTGAGAATCACGTTTTAAAACAAACGCGACATGATCTGTTAACAGTTTGGACTCTATCGCTTCTGTAGAAACACAAAGAGGTCTCATCAGTCCTGATGCAGGTGACTCGTACTATAGTGCGCACGTCCTGCACGGAGACACAAGTCAGAACTGCGAGCCTTGTTCCCCCCTCTCTCACTTTTCCTCCCGTTGGCACCCCGCCAGGTCCAGCACGCTCCGAGCCTCTTCTCCTCTTGCGCCGCTTGCTGCTCACTTTACACCACCCCTTCTCCTGAGAGGGGAGAGAGAGAGAGTGGGAGGGAGGATGGAGAAGGGGGTGCCCCCGAAAGAGGTGGAGCCGAGCGGAGGGAGGGAGCAGGGGAGTCTCTCTGCCGACGCTGGAGTGAGGTAGAGTTGGGTTGGAGGGGGGCGACGGGAGCCCTTGGCCGCCTATTCGCCTTCCAGTTGCCTCCACGCTATATAAACACTCATTGGTGCCTCTGGCTTGACGCACACACACTCCTTGCGCACGCATGCACAATACACACACTGAGGGTGACTTGTATAGGCAGCCAGAGAGCGAGAGAGAGAGGAGAGAGAGCGCTCTGAGAAACAGAAAGGTACACAGAGAGGAGAGTGGACGTCAGAAAGTAAGAGAAGGAGAAGGAGGACGGCAGCTCCTGAGCATCTCCTGCGCACCCACGCATCCCTGTACGCTCACGGATCTTAAACATTTCTACTCCTCGTGTTTGCGCCACAGAGACGTGACTTTTTAATGCAAAGACGCCTTTTGATTTTCTCTTTAAAAAATATTTGAAGGAGACGCGATTCCTGGAAGAGTTTTCGTTTATTTTTTTCCTCTCTCACCTTAAACCAACTCTTTCCATCCCTCGAGAAGTTTTAAAAAGTAAAAAGCCCTCGTCAGTTCCAGGGCTCGGCTTCACTTTTTCCACGTGTCCCCGGGAGTCCCGGCGTTTGAAATACACGTGTCACCTTAGAGATCATTTTTTTCTTTTTCTTTCTTCAGCAATTTTTTCCATCTCCCTTTTTTATTTTTATTTTTAGTCAGTAATTCACAAACGAGACTAAAAATGATATTTCAAACATCAGGACAGACCCCAGCCAAGAGAATTCCGTGTCCTAAATGTTTCAATCATTAAAACAAAGCGAGTTTTAATAGTTTCACTTTCCCCCCCACACTTCATAAGCTGAGGCGTGATCCTGAAGACGCGGGGAGCTCACCTGTAGCGTCTCTGCCCAGTTCAGCCGAGCCTGATTCGCACCTCTGAGGCACAGAGACGCCACTTTGTGACTGTTTTAAAACACAGACCCACGAAATCAGAAAGGAACTTTACACACTTCATTCATTCTCAGAGCAGAGCAGCCGCTGCCTCCTGACACCTCCAGCGCGCGTAAAAAGAGCGCTGCGCTATTTTACGCAAAAAAGAACTTTGAAAGTTTGACGAAGATTTACTTTGCCCCCTTTTTGGAGCACAAAAGTTTCAGCGCATCTTTCTCCAAAGTTTCTGAAAGTCGACCCCAGTTCCGCAGAGATCACCGGGCTCTCCATCACCATGCTGTTCGACACTTTCGACATCGTCTCCGCTCTGGCCACTCTGGCCGCTTGCCTGGTGTCCATGGCCCTGCTCCTCGCCGTGTCCCAGCAACTGTGGCAGCTCCGTTGGACGGCCACGCGGGATAAAAACTGCAAGCTGCCCATGCCGAAAGGATCCATGGGCTTCCCCTTCATCGGCGAGACCTGCCACTGGCTCCTGCAGGTAAGAGCGCACTCTGGGCAGGGAGCGAGGGAGGGAGGGAGAGGGGATGAGTTTGGTGGAGGGAGACAGAATCTGGGTCAGCGCCGGTCTCCGTGTCTGTGAGGTGATATCAGTCTCATCTAATTATTTATTCCTCCCCAAAGATCGTTTTGCGCTTTTTTATTGACATCTTTAGTAATTTGTGCAAACATCTGCGCCTTTCTTTTTTACCAGCCACATTTTTGTTGTTTGCAAAAGGAGAAAACTCATTTAAAAAACACCAGAACGCAACTTTTTTGTTTTGTTTTTAAAGCCTCACACTCGTTCTTTTATAGCCTTTGTTAATTGGACTCCATATCCCATAATGCACAATGTTACATTAACTCAGAAACTCATAAATATCGAGATTCTAAAACAAAAAAACCCACAAAACTGATCTGCTGCTTCATCTCCATCCTGCGCGAATGGGATGCACAGTGAACACGCACACACAGAGGAGAATCAAAGAGTTTCGCTTCATCTTTTATTAGTTTACAGCCCTGTAATATCTCTCCCCGCACTCCAGCGGTGGCTCGCACAGACTCTTCTTTCCCCTCATTATCTCACACAGGAGCGCATCAGCCAGTCGCGGCGCGACGTCACAGTCTATTGATCACATCTGATACGGTAGCGAGTCCAGGCTGAGCCGTGGGGACTCATGTCTCTGACGGAGAAGGAGGACACTCGTGTCCACAAAGAGATTGTGTTTTGTGCTGATTGTTGGGAGAAGGAATGAGAAAAGGGAAGTTCTGTGTGAAAGGGTTAAATCGAGGGTAAAGTGCAGTCTCTGGACACGCTCTCCTCCTCCTCCTTTTCTTCTTCTTTTTTAAAATCTTGGTTGCATTCAGAAAGGTTCCCGACACGCCGCGTTTTCAGTAGATTGGTCAGAGATTCCTGCAGAAAAAAGGAAAGCCCTGCACCATGCGTAGTATTGATCCAGCTTACCGAAGGTTCGCTTAATCGGTGAGATGCTTCACAGTCTAAACCCCCCCCCCCAGCATCCACCCTTATCAATAAAATTTGCAGATAATCTTAATGTTTGAGGCTAAAAACGAGACACTTGGACCAGTGAGTGATAGGAGATCAGGGTGCACATGAGTGCCGCTACTGAGGACTCCCGGGAGCGCGCCAGCTGAGGGGACAGCTAATAAAACAGAGAGAAGAAGAAGAGAGACAGGAGGGAAAGGGAAGCCAGGCTCGACGAGCGGAGGCACGTTGGCCGCGTGCGGGGCTTGAACTCGCGGTGCTCCTCTGCGTTACATCTGACACCGAGCGAGACGCGTTCCCGGAATGCAAGCGGGAACCACGGCCAAGTTTATGGTGAGGGGAGGGGGGAGGCATGTCAGTCAGAAGGAGGAATAAGAGGCTGTCTGTACTTATGAGGACCCCGCGTCCCCACAAGCAGGGCTCAGACCTGATTTATAACCTTAAAGTGAAGTTTTAGAACAGCGCAGTCAGGAGAGGTGGGCGGGTCGATCCTAATATCAATCGTATGCTGGTATTGGTTTAGGATCATTCTTGCGTTGCCTGTCATGCCCGTTTCATTTATAGCTTATAGCACATTTAAAGAACAGAAGTTGAGCCAAAGTGCTTCATAGGCAGGCACATTTACATTCAAGAAACACCAAATGCTGAAAGTTGTGTTTTGTTGTGTTAACTAATTATTGTGGAGAGTAAGAATCAGGGTGATTTTTTGGTTGGTAACAAGTGTTCGGAATTTGCAAATTTTTTACTATTCGTCTCGTAAATCATGACTCGCTGCTCTCCTCTACGTGAGCTGCCTTCATCAAGTAGTAGTATCAGCACTGGTATCAGTAATACGTGTCCTGTGTTTACAGTAGCAGCCAGTGTACCAGGAGCCATTACAGACATCTTTTTGATTATAAGAAAAAGAAGGAAGGTGCATGCACTACAGTCTGTGTGTGTCCCGTGTCCAGTCCAAAGACTGTAGATAGAGGATGGATGTCTGTGACATCACTCACTGGCTGGTGAAATCCTGTCTGGAAGCCTCAGGTTGAGTACTTTGCATGTCTCCAAGCCACAGGAGACTATACCACACCCATGCGCTAAGGAAGCCACGCCCCCAAGCATATTTTTCTCTAAATGGGAGCATAACAACACAACAAAGGCTGCACTGACGATGATTTGAAATGAACAATGAGGTCATAAACTGCCCAGGAAAGCGCTTAGTGAAGAAGCACTAGCACTGTTTTCCTATAGGTTTAATTAAAACTGACTTTGCCCCCTGCTGGCCATCAGACATAAAGCTGGCTTGCGGAGGTTGACTTTGTGCTACTTAGAACATTTTTGGGGGACTGCGTTACTGCGATGTAGTTTTTTGTTTTGCTCTTCTTCCTCCTAGAAATCAACCATACTTGTTGTGGTCATCTTCCTTCTACCAATCAGAGTTTGAGCTATGTGCGGCATCATCATCCAGAACTTCCTTCCTGTTTCAATGTTTGGTTTCTTTTTAAAGACTCAACTTTCTTTTTTTTTTGATCACTTGGGATCATAAGAACCAATTCATGTAGAGCAGAAGCAGCATTTGGAGGTTCTGAGCATTCTGTGTTAGCTCTGTCTTCGGTCGCTGCCCACTCCTCACACTTTAGCTACACACACAGTCACCATTTGGTAAATCTGCCTGTCTGCTGCTGAATTTTTTTTCTCACTATGAGAGCGTAAAAACAGTGAAGTTATGCGCATACACACATATACACATGGTATATTTTTACCCTGCACACACACGCAGCACATTTCTGTGACGGATCCATTTTAAAGCAATCTGCAGTTAGAAATAGTTCTGTGGTCACTCTGCCAGAGCCCTGTCTGCTCTCATTAGGAGCCTGAGCTTTCTGGAGCTACGGTGCCAAGCAGGAGCGCTACTGAGGCTTCACACACACACAAACACACATACAGGCACACAGAAATAATGTACTAATCTTTTTGCACATAGACATAAATGTTTTCCTGTGCACACACATATATGAAGAGAAAATATGGTACAAAAACCATAAGTGCATGTTGATTCTGAGTTACCTTTAAACATATAATTTATAACAAACTTTTATTTTTGAGTGAAGCTGTACGGCCGTAGACTTGTAGCATTTTTGTCTCACGTTAGATGATCTGGATACTTTGTTTTATTCACTCCACTCCTCACAATTTTTGCTGGATGCAAATGATCCCATTTCATCTTTTAAAGTTTTTTCTGAAATATTGTACGCATGTTGCTGGGTTTCTACTTGGTTGAAGTTCGTTAACAGTTACCTTCCACGACCACTAGGGGTCACCACACCACAAGGATCCCAAGAAAATATTTTGGTAGCTAAGAAGTGAATTCAAAAACATCGGAAACACCGATAAGTCGAACCAATGAAGTTTTTTAAATACATTTTTTTCCTCCTTTGACAAAACAAATCTACTGTTGCTAGGTAACCAGGTAAACCTTTCTTCTTTTTTTCATGCAGTTTCTTTGGGTCGGAGTCTCATAACTTTTTCACACACACACAAACAAACCACACAAACATGTACGTGGAGCAGCCTCACTGGACTGAATCTGGGTCAGATGAGAAGAAATGAACATGAGGCTCGCACACACAGAGTGGAAGGTCCAAATGTTTTGTG